CTCACCATCAGCAAATGTCAGAACAGAATAAATATGTAATAATTGTATATAATTATAATATATTGTAATATATTGATATATATTGTAATATTCTATCATCTGTTTACTACAAAATCAAAGAATTCACTCTCACCCAGTCAAGAAGATCTCTAGAAAAACCATGTTTACAAAACACAGCTCACATATGCTCACATCCCAATTCAGTTGTCTCCATTGCCAAATACCTGTAGAAAAAACAATGTTCACGTATGTTCATGCCTAAACTCACCAGCCAAAGCAACATCGGGAGCTTGAGATTCTTGCGGTGCAGTGTCAGCCTTCTCATGTGAAGGTTCAGCAGCTTCACCATCCTGAACAAACGGGGTCACACAGGAACAGACGTCCACATGAATTCTCTACAAATTTTAGTGGTCTACCACTGGCTTCCTCTCCCTGTCTCCAAATACCTGTAGAAAAACAGGACCATGTCCACGTCCAACCCCAATCCCTCACATCCCAACAGCAGCCACATGCAGCCAAAGCAACAGCGGGAGCTTGGGCAGCTTTCTCCGGAACTGGCTCTGCAACTTCAGGAACCTAACAACACATGATCAAACAATAAAACAAACATTGTAGAGACTTGTTACAAATGCTTGTGGCAGGAAAATAATTCTCTACATTTGTCCGCAAAATTCAGTGGCCATCCCCTGGTGTTCGATGGTCCTGTCTCCAAATATCAATAGAAAAACATCGAATATGTTCACGTCCAAACCCCGTCCCTCACATCTCAACTCAGCAGCCACATGCAGCCAAAGCTACAACAGGAGCTTGAGGTTCATCAGGTTCAGAATCAGTCTTCTCTGCCACTGATTCCGGAACCTCACCATCAGAGAATGTCAAAAAAAGGAAACCATATGAACTAACAAACCAAATAAATCCAATTACAGTAGGAGATTGATGCGTTGATGTGACATTTCTACACTTGTATACACTTGTGATATCTTGTGAATTCTTGTGACATATATTGACTACAAAATCAAAGAACTCATTCTCACTATGTCAAGGAGGTCTCTAGAAAAACATGTTCACACACAACCCCCACAAAACACAGCTCACATATGTTCACATCCCAATTCAATTGTCTCCAAATACCTGTAGAAAAAACAATGTTCACGTATATATGTTCATGCCTAAACTCACCAGCCAAAGCAACATCGGGAGCTTGAGATTCTTGCGGTGCAGCGTCAGCCTTCTCTTGTGCTGGTTCAGCAGCTTCACCATCCTGAACAA